TTCAGCAGGCATGGTGGTGTTGGGTGCATGGTTGGACTTGATGATCTTAGAGGTCTTTTCCAGCCTTACTGATTCTGTGATTCTGTGACTCGCAGTATGCTCTGTAGTGTCGTGCTTCGGTTAAAACTGTCCGGTACATAACAATGAAAGCAACATGGTTTTTTGCACAGAACGGTTCCCAAATGTACTTAGTTGCTCAGAGTTACAAGAAACTGGAAAGCAGCAAAAGAAGAGGTGAGGATCCCAAATTCGCTTAGATCAGTAAGATGTTTGTGACTCACTGTTGTTGCGGTCACAGGGTCCAGACCCCTGTGAATTAATGTTTGTGTACTAATTATTGTAAACTCATTAGAAACAAATGCAAGGGCATGATAGAAGTAATGCGAGAAGATAATTTTGCGCTCTTGCTGTACTGGGGTGCAGGAGATGCTTTGAGTTGCGCTCCTGTCTCTACCTTCTGTCTGCAGGATGACCTTGGACAAGTCACTTAGGCTTCCAGTGCCTGCCTTGATTTCTGTGTTTTTAGGATGAGGATGCTGATAACAGCCTCCATTAGAGGAGAGATGGAGCCTCTCAGATCCAGAGCTCAAATATGCCCTGTGAAAGCTGGGCCTTAATGATTTTAATAGTTAACAATAACAAAAAGGGTAACTTAATGGTAATATGGGTGTTTATACCGGTGGCCCAGAATTTTGTAATTGCTATTTACAGTGCTTGAATGCAAGTTCATGACTGAGTGCTGTCTTTTCCGCTAAGTGCTCAGTGCTGGGGAGAGTTCAGAGGTGGGGGAACGAGATAAGTAAGTTCCCTCCTGTGTGTGGAGAGCAAGTCACAGGCTAGCAGCAAGGTAGAAGTACCACAAGAGGGCCCAGAGAGATGCTGCAAGGCAGGTTTCTAGTTTTGTTTTCTACATCTGTGCTCTTTGTTGTTTTCCACTTCAGTAGACTGAAAATGTTCGGCTCAGCTGGATGAAGAGATGCGGTGCTTACTTGGGTGAGTTAGGGCGGTTGTCTTTGGGCCATGCGCAGCCCTGTCTTGCTTGGGAGCAGAATAGCCCGTGGCAGGCTGGGCTGGGCTGCTGCTTCACAGCGCTGGTGCCTTCCTGGTGCCTTTCAGGACAGAGCCAGGGATGGGAGTTTGAGCCATCGGTGTGCCCGGGAGCAGCCTGGCAGACGAGCCAGGAGGCATTCAAGCTGCTTCCGAGGTGCCACCGCTCAGCACAGGTGTGGTGTGCGGCTGTGACCTTGTACGTCACTTCCACAAGCGTGCCAGGTGTGTGGGCTTGGCACGTCAGCTGGTGTGCTCTGACGGAGGGCGGTCACCTAAGGACGCAGCAGTGAGAGCACATAGTGTGCTGGGGAGTGTTCTGCTTTGATAAGAAGGTGTTTAGTACACCTGGCGTCAGGTTTCTCCGTGGCAGCAATTGATGTTGAGTTCATTCCAGTCACTCGAAATCAACATCATTTTGGAGGCAAATTCTAATTGAGAATGTATTTGCTACCAGGCAGACATGTGTTCAAAGCACACGTCCGGACCCCTCACCAGGGTTGACAGTTTTCCGTATGCAGCATCTCGCAGGATTGGATCTGTACCAAACGTTTTCTTGCTCTGCGAGCATCGCATTCTGCTGTCCAGTCCTTGTAGCACGCACAGCAATAGGTGCGATCCTGGTAAAGGTTGTACGAGGAGGCTAAGACCAAACTACTGGCTCCTGTTTGGTGCCCTTGCATTGGTTATACCCGCCTGCTGCGACGTGGGGTCTGCCGGCTATTGCATGTGCCCCAGAGGCCGGGGGGATGCTGTGATATTGCAGCTGAGCAAACACTGAAGCCATCACCAGAAGGCTGTTCTCAGCTGCTGATTACACTTGTTAATTTGGATGAGAGAAGAAAAAATGTGAATCTTTAGATATGTCCGCAAAATAGCAAAACTTAATGTCTGTATGTATTTTAAGTATTGCTAGGATACTATAAGAGAAAAGCATATGGAGCCGAGAAGGAAAGCACATCTGGCATACATTTATGGGTAACCCCAATTGTCTTATGTCTGGTTTCATGCAAGCAATCTATCTGCAAACTTTGCTAGAGCTTACTTCAGTTTTCATGTGATGGATCAATGAGACAGATGCAAATTAAATAGATTTTCAGCAAGGTGATAAATATGGACTTACTTGTCTTGCTCCTCTGGCTGTTTTTGTGCCTGTATTGCTGAAGTTCTTATTAGCATCTGGTCCCCTGTAGGAACTGGTGTGTTTTGGGGTTGTTTTTTTTGCCTCCAGACTAGCAGATAGACTTAAAAATAGGGTTGGGCATGATACAACAGTTTAAAGTCTTAGTCCAGCAATCAGCTTTCTGTTGCGGTGCTCTCAGCTCACAGAGTCTGTGGGTGCTGGTAAAATTCTTTGCTCCATGGATCTGTATGTACAATGTGATTTGCGGGATGAGACCTGCTAGTCCAATTAGCTATCACTGTGTAGATGTAATGCTTTGAAGTACTTGCTGAGCTAAAATCTCTTTGACATCTGTGGGGTTAAGCACACTCGGTGTTTCTTTGGGTTCTTTAGAACCTTGTAAGGGTTGTACTTTTCATATGGTGTCCGCAGGTAAAAGAAGAAAATAATTGTAGTTTTTAAGAGTAAGAACTTTCTAAGAATAAACCCATTTAAAATATTACTTAATATGTTGTGTTGTTCTGCTGACATTCTACATGTGCATGAGGAAAGACATTAATGTGTTGTCAGTCCATGGGAGCCAGCCCCAGCATGCCCCAAGAGCTCGGACCTGCTTGTAGAGGAGCCAAAGACACTAAAAACATGATAACTGCCCTTGCATGTGTTTAATGCGGCCTCTTGAAGGCAGGCAGGTCCCTCCTGGGGGACTGAATGGTCTTTTAATGTCTCGCATGGCCCATTTTTCCAGAATTTCCATCTTGGTACCTGGAGGTGTTTTTATTTTGCAACGGGCAGCCAGCCCAGCATGGAGGGTGGAGAAAAATAAACCAAAATGATAATTTCTCAGACAGTGGGCGATCTCTGTCAAGCCAAGGCTGCAGGTACATAGATATTTGCTGTCCTGCATGGGAGGGAGGGAAACAAAAATACTCTAAAAATACTGGGAATACTGTCTGCCTTTTGAGATCCTGGTTTCAACCACGCAGATGCAGCACTAAACTGGGAGTGGGGTCTCCTTTCTTTGCTCACTCTTTCATTCATAGAATCGCAGGATAGTTTGGGCTGGAAGTGACCCTTAAAGTCATCTAGCCCAACCACCCTGCAGTGAGCAGGGACATCTTCAACTAGACCAGGGTGCTCAGAGCCCTGTCCAGCCTGACCTTGAATGTTTCCAGGGAGGGGGCATCTGCCACCTCTCTGGGTAGCCTGTGCCAGTCGTCTTGTGTTAATCCTTGGCTTGACTTTTGAAGTTCAGAAATAAGTGTAAGTTCATGTATGCTACTTTCCCCATCAAATAGACGACTAGGTGGTGCTGCTGTTGTTACTTGGTTTGTGAAGACTGTGCTGAGGGACTGTTTCAGTAGAATTACAGACTTCTACTCAGTGAGACACTAGACATTGCTATATTGAAACCATAGCAATAGCACTGACTGTGCCCAGACGTGTGTCAGGCTGTCACCCGTGTCATTTTCAGTTGTCACATCCAAAGCCCAGGAAATTGTAACTGAAGGTCCTCCTTCTCAAAACTTGTTTCTTAACGATTACTACGGAAGGAGTGGAGTGAACCAGTGTGTGGCAGAATTGAAAAATTGGTGTATGTATTCTTTTAAATTTTACTTATCTTTATTATTGTAATCTTTGCCTCTCGTCACACCAGCCCTAGCAACTGGTCTTTGTTCACTAAATTTTTCTGTAAAGGCTGGATTTGTTGGAAAGCGCTATTGACCTTTTGCCTCTCTACCTCATTTTTTTGTTAGTGAAAAACATACAGCTGAGAAAGGTGGTCTTAAAAATTACTGATAGTCAAGTGGTAGGAATTAATGATGCAATGAAAAATGTAATGAGGTATTTGGGATACAGGAGACTACTCAGTGTGCTGGTTTTCAGGCAGTGCTGTTTTTCAACACCATCAGAATTTGTCTTTCTGTACATTTTCCAAAGGAGGGTATAAAAAGACTTTGCATGCATTCATGCTTTAGCTGTCTTAAACCAAGCAGGTAAATGAATGGAAATACTTTTTAAATTTCCTAGAAGGCAAGTAGTGTTTTTTTTTTACTTCCTCAAGATTATGTCGCAGACCAGTTGCAGAGAGAAGAATAGATCTCAGACTCAATTTCTAATGTTAATACTCTCTTTTCCTTACAAATAAGTAAAATTTAAATTCCTATTGCCTCAATGTATTTTTGAATTTCACTCACTGACTTAGCAAATAATCCTGTGTGGACGAGGATGCCCAGCTGGATCCTGTAAGCTTTATATCCTGAAGTGTTCAAATAAATTCCGCATTTCACTTGTGTGAGTTTGGGAAGGAAAGATGGGACCTCACTTCTGTTGTGAAAGTGTGAGCAGCCACAGTGTGCCATCATCGTTGGCTCTCTCTTTTGTTTTGTTACCCTTTGATATGGAAAGAATGGGTGCTTCTTAATTGGTGGGATTTCAGGTAGTAATGTTTGTTCTTTACTCCTTCTGCCGTGGTTAGAATCCAGTTACGGGGCTGCTTTCAGCTGGTACGGACCATAAAGATGCTTGGGTACGGGACAACATCTACAGCATCCTCGCTGTGTGGGGGCTGGGGATGGCTTATCGGAAGAATGCGGACCGGGACGAGGATAAGGCCAAAGCCTATGAGCTCGAGCAGGTACGTCAAAGTTCGGTGTAAACCAGTTATGCTGTTTGGATTTTTTCATACGGTAGTGGTTTTGAGCAGTGCATTTGCATGACTGCTGTGTCTGGGGTCTGGCAGGGTTTTCCCAGCTTGGAGTATTGTGTCTTGTTCCTGTGGCAGCAGCATCCATGCAGCATGTGGCGTGCAGTGTTCCTGGCAGCCTTCCGGCAAGCAGGGTTTGGATTACTGGGTGGCAGAGAGGCTAATGTCTGAATTAAAATATAAACAAGACGAAACCATGTAGCAGTCAAACTTCCATCGGTTGGCCGACTGTTGAAAATTAGGCTTCTGAGAAATTTTATGCCCAGATTCACAAGCCTCTGACTGAACCTTGAGATCCCTCATGAGGTATAGTACAGAGCAGAAAATCAAGCCTAGGTCACTTGGATCCTAGGGTGTCAGTTTATCTGCTAGATCATTCTTCCCCGTGAGAAGAAGCATGCCATTTAAAGTAGCAATCTTTGAAATGTGCACTTGTGTCATCTCACGGGTGCCGTATGTGGTGTATAGACGTGTTTGATCAAGCCAGACAAGGTAACGATCTCTGAACTGGTAAGACTCTTGTGCTGGAGAGTTGGAAGGGGAGGTGACTCACGGTGTCAGTTTCTATAATCTGCAGCTGGGAAAGTGGGTATTCAGAAGTGAGAGTACAGAGGTGGATTGAATGGGAGGTGAAGGAGTGTTGGTGTCAGTGTCCTGCTGTTGTTTTGAAGGCACTGGGTAAATTTTATGCTGACATGTGCTGCTCAAACCAGGGAGATCTGTGAGAACAGAATAGCCTTGACTCGATTTGCATGATAGTATTTTGAGGCTATAATAAAGGTAAAAAGATGGGGTTGGTTTCTTCATTTAAGGCAAAATCTTGTGCTTCTTTTTGTGCGCACTAAAGACCCTTTCTTTACATTAGTCATCTGCTTTCTGTTGTACTGTATAAAGAGCAGAAGAAGCTCCATGGGTTTTCCAGTCATGTCAATGTCTTGCAGTCACCTACCAGTGTTCCCTGGATCTGTCGCTCTAATGATCGTCATCATTATTATTACTCTTACTTCTTTAGCTGGATAGAAGGACCGTAGAGAGTTGCTTCACTGCTTAGAGAGGTCTTTAGGAAAAGATTCATTCTCCTAGATAGGGATGTGGGAGTAAAAATCAACCAGTATATTAAAAAAACAAAAAAGGCATATAAAGCATTTCAGGCAAATACATTTTTTTACCTTTGGCAGGATGTTAGTCGGAGGTGTGAACTTTGTCACTTTCGAATGTGGTTTATAACAGCTGGTGAGGCTGGTTGTGTGAGGGTGTCACTGGTCTGTTTTGTTCCTGCAGAACGTTGTGAAGCTGATGCGGGGACTCTTACAGTGCATGATGAGACAGGTAATGTCATAGGTAGGAGCTGAATTAGTACGTGTTGTATTTACAAAGCATTTAATCCAAAGCACCTATTTCTTGTCTCTTTTCTGTAGAGTGATTTTTTTTGTTTGTTTGTATGTAGATGGTGGTGTGGGGGGTCTTTTTAAAACTCTTGAGCAAAACTCTGATCTTGCCTTTTTGAGATTGTGCTTGTAGCAAATCACAGTTTTGCCTTTGCAAACTGATTTTCACAAAGATGCATACCTATAACAAAGATTTGAACTCAGCAAGGTATTTTCATCTTACTCGTTCCCAAAGAGATGTGGATTTAGCTGGAGTCTAAAGTTAGGGTTGTGTTTAAGCTCTCTGATCAGTCAAAACACACTGAAGTGAGGTAACAGGAATTAGGATCTCAAGTTTCTCCTCGCTTGAAAGAAGTTATTCATTCTGAAATACTTCAGAGAATTTCTTCTAAAATGCTTCAGATTTGAGATTTGTGGTGTTTTATAGGTAGATAAGGTAGAGAAGTTCAAACGCACACAAAGTACCAAAGACTGCCTGCACGCCAAGTATAACTCCGCGACTTGTGCCACAGTGGTTGGGGACGACGAGTGGGGGCATCTACAAGTGGATGCAACTTCCCTTTACCTGCTCTTCTTGGCACAGATGACTGCGTCAGGTAAGCAGAAGATATTTTAGCCTTGACTATTGTTGCACCCTTTTTCTAATCTAGCTTTCATTTAAAAAGGAAGAAAATGTTGTAACTAGCTTCAAAGACCTTTGCATAATTATAACGTAGAAGAAAGTAATATTTCTCTGGAAAAGTGATGTGACTTAGTTAGGATTTCATGTTTATGGTAACTAGTAGTGTCCATTCCCTGGATGTCTGTTGGCATACAGGTATGGGAGATACTCAAAGTCATGTCAGAAAAGAATTTTGTGTTTGAAGACTACGTAGGGTGTCCTAATGGACAACCAGGTTTCTTCTCGGAGTGGCAACATGGGATCAGGCACTGCTAGTGCTGTCTATGTTCCTTTTCTTGCTGACACTCTTTTATCTTGTGCTTTTCTCAACTGTACCACTCCTGTGAGGAAAAGGATTTGTTGCCTTATGTGTTTTTCTGTCCTCAGAGTCCCTTGCAATTGACCTCTGCAGAGCGGGTGCGTGGTGGTCCCTCAGTAGAGCACCAAGTGGGCAGAGGGGTGGAGAGCTGCAGGACTTGGGATGCACTGCTCTCGAGAGCCAGAGCTGGAAACCACCCTCCCAGGAGTGGTTTTTGGTTGGTTTTGAAATGATATGTATTGGTGGCGTTTGAAATATTTTGTCAGCAGCGAGTATTGAGGTTTGCTGCCTGATCTTTTGAAATCAGCATGAGTTTTTCCATTGATTTCAGTGGGCAGTAATTGGTAGCAAAAGAACAAAAGCACAAAACTCACTGAAGAGTAAATATTTCAGTTCTGATACAGTCTAATTACTCTCTTCCCTTCTTTTAATCAGGGTTACGTATTATCTTCACCCTCGATGAAGTTACCTTTATTCAGAATCTTGTTTTTTATATAGAAGCTGCCTACAAAGTTGCTGTAAGTAGTAATTTATACATAAATCACCTGAACACTGCTCAGATGTGGGTGGAAAATTATTTCTTCTTGGAGAAGGAAAATACGGGCTGCTTTTGCAATGAGAAGATACCAGAATCTGTCAGTACTTTATGTTTTGAGCAGCATCTTTGCAGGAGGTGGGAGGGCTGTGGAGGATTTACTGCTGACTGGGTGAGGTGTACTTGTTCTATCGTAATAATAGTTTTTCTTTATTGGCAATTAATAGTGTTTCCTGATGTCTCATTAAAACATTACAGGGCTTTATAAAAAGAGCAAAGTGCTAACAAACTTTCTGGGAAGTGATGAGTTGAAGGGGCACAGGGAGAAGCATGCACAGGGGGAAGGATTAAGGGCTTTGTGTGTTCTGTGAAGGCAATGATTCATGACTGTAGACCCGATCCTGCTGGGGCATATTTTTATGTGCTACTCTTTAAACATGAGGAGGGGCTCTTTGGAGACTTAGAGCCCTTTTTTTTTTTCTTCCTCTTACTTTTTTTTCTTTTTTTTAAGGCAAATAAACTAATTTCATGCAGGAGTCTGGTTTTATTGTGGAGCGAGCATGGAAAACATTGTTTTTGTATGTAATCGTGCCAGTTTTTTCTTGATGATGTTGTTGTTGCAGGATTATGGAATTTGGGAACGTGGTGATAAGACAAACCAGGGCATCCCTGAACTGAACGCAAGCTCCGTAGGGATGGCCAAAGTGAGAATGTCTTCTTGATGCCTCCTTCTTGACTGTTCTGTCATAAGGGCTCTGTCAAACCTGATGTCTTCCTTTGCATAGTCTTCTTGACCACTGTGATAATTAACTTGTATAAGAATTTTTGTTTGGGTGTGAGTGAGTATTTTTTAGTGTAAAATCCTTGTCATAACGGCTTTCGTTAAGAACCTCAGCACAATTGTTCTGGGGATTGCAGAAAGGGTATCAGATTCATTGAGCCATGAATGTGATAGATGCCGTGAGGTGCAGTCTCATAAAGTAGCTTCTGGTTTTCTGTCCCTCTTTCTTATTTCTCCAGCCCCAGTATTATATGTGGTGTTTTCACAGTAAGATTAAGTCAGATGTAAATTGTGGAAAACAGCAGAATATCAGTCTTAGGAAATTATTCATAAGTAATTGGAGAGAAAAAATGGGTAAAGATGTACTTCAAAGAAAGTGGATATTTCTGGTTCCTCCATAGCACAAGATCACAGAGATACTAAATGAAGCTCAGAAGACCATAAATGTAAGTGTGTAGTTGACAACTACCTTTTTACCTGGTGTCTGGAGGACAGAGAGAAGCCAAATATTAGTAAGGTCAAAGGTGCAGCTGCATGTCAGCAGGATTTATTAGTTAACCAGATCTTGCGTGGCTGCAAGAGGGGGAAATTACTGGTCTTGGCCACAGTTTAGATGAACAGCGATGGTGCAGCATCCGTGGAGGAGGTTATTGCTTAGCTGTCCAGCATGAGATATTTTGTGCTGAACAGTCTGACGTGGGTTGCTGTGGTCTCTTGAGTGACTTCTGGGTTCGTTGGTGTCAGGATGATCTGCGGGACGCACTGCACAGCTTTGCTGCTCTGTGGCTCTGAGTGCAATAAAAGTGCCGTTCAAGGTGGATGCTGGGAGGCCACACTGGAGGCCCTGCTGCAGAGGGTGAGGTAGATGCTATTTTTTTTAGTCTGCCTCAGGTAGTCTCCCTCTAAACACACTCTTAAAATACCTTTGCCCCTCTGCAGAGAGATAAGGCAAGCTGTGCTGTGTGGTCCTTCCTTTGTCAGAGCTTGTCCTGCATCTTCTCTGTAGCGTCAGAAATGGGCACAGAGGAACATTCATTGCCACCGCAACCCTGTGAATATGCATTTCGGAGGAAGGCTCTGCTAGCCTGGCTCTGGCTGTCCGGTCCTTGCTCTCGTCCCACCACATTCCCTGCGTGGTGCTACACACCCCGCTTCTTCAAAGCCGGGTTTTGTGGCCTGCTAGGTTAAAGTAGGAGTGTGCAAGTGGAGTCGGTGGTTGGGCTGTTAATGTCTTCACTAAGGAAATGCGTTGTGACCAAGAGGTACGAAATGTGGCAATTCACCTGTTGACATGGAGCATGCTGTGTTCTGGTTGGCTGTGGAGAGAGCTGACGTCTCATTCCCCTCTCCGTTGGGAAGTGATAGTGTCAGCGAGATGGCAATGCTCTCCTCTCTGGGCACTGCCTTCTGCTGATTCTGGGGCGCCTTGAGCAGCCCTTCAGGCAGGAGGAGTGAAAGGCCACTGAATGTGGGGGTTGTTTTGGAATATAGTACAGGAGGAGCATTTATTACTAAGTATTTAGATATTGACATTTTTCTAAAATATTGCCAAGCTTCCTTTTAAAGATGAAGAATGTGAAGCAAACTTCTGTCTTACGTAATTTCCTTCAAAGGATAAGCACAGGTGCTAGGGTGTATACGTGGCTTAAAAGGTATTTAATGGTTTTGGGCTGTTGTTTGGGTTTTTTTTGAAGGCTGCTTTGGAAGCAATTGATGAACTGGATCTTTTTGGAGCTCATGGAGGACACAAATCAGTGATTCACGTTCTTCCTGATGAAGTAGAACATTGTCAGGTAAAAATTTAGTCTTCTGTTTCCTTTGCTAGGATAAAACCCAACACACTCTCCCTTTTGTTTTTAAATGAAATGTTGATTAACTGAACCAAGAACTTACTGTAATAAGGATGGCTTCAGACTATGCTGTTCACCCTGTTTCTAGTAGATCATGTGAAAGTGAGTGCTGTGAAGCATTCTTGTGCTAACACAGTTAAAAATAATTATGCAGTGAGTTCTCTGTCAGTTTGCAAATAGTATAGTCTATTCCATTTGCACTTGACACAGTCTTTTTGAAGTAGGCAAATTGTTCTACATCTCTCTCTTCTGTTCCTGTTTTGCTCAGTCTATTCTATACTCCATGTTGCCAAGGGCTTCCACGTCAAAGGAGATAGATGCTGGCCTTCTCTCTATTATTTCTTACCCGGCTTTTGCAGTGGAGGATCTAAACCTTGTTAATGTGACCAAGAGTGAAATCATATCCAAACTGCAGGTGAGGATTTCCTTTATTTTAATTTTCCAGAGGGAAAGAGAAGCAGAACCTCCATTTCTTAAACAAAAATCCTAATTAAACAAGGGTTGCCAGACTTTGTGCATCAGTTCATGGAAGAGAGCCAGGAAAATCCCTAGGTGACACTTAAAAGTCAGCACATACTTTTGTGCTGATGCTAGTCTGTGGGGAAGAACAGTGTGTGAAGTTTTCTATAATTTTGTCTGTTTTTACAGGGCCGCTATGGCTGCTGTCGCTTTCTCCGAGATGGTTACAAGACACCCAGAGAGGTATTTCTGATACATATTTTCAGTAGACATTAGGAAGAGTTTTATCTCTTGTTTATAGACTTTTTTTGTCTCCTTTACATGAAGGGGTAAAGTTCTGTATCGCTGTTAAGACATCTCAGTGGATTTGGAGGTAATCCAGGTATCCACCCTTGAAGTGACACGTATCTGAAGAAAACTCGGGGTTTGAAAGCCAATTACTAAGAACAGAACTTAATTCATAATTCTGTAAGGAATGAACCCTTGCATATACTTATGGTGCCTAAGGGGAAAGCAGTGTCTCTGAGGCATCCCAAAATATCTTTGAGCTGAGGCAGACACAAGATTATTTGGGTGACACCTAGATTCATAGACTTGAAGGGGTTGATTTGTCTGGGGAACAATCAAATGAGTTCAAGATTGGATGTGAAAAAGAAGTCAAGAAGCTGCATGGAAACTGTTTCTGGTGTTCTGTTGGTTTCTTGGTTTTAATTACTCATATAAAATAGGCTACCATTTTGATGGGCATATGAGTGACTAATTTAGCACTGTGACTAAACAAGTATGATTGAATTTCTAGGATCCAAGCAGGCTGCACTATGACCCTGCTGAGCTCAAGCTCTTTGAGAATATTGAATGTGAGTGGCCAGTATTCTGGACATACTTCCTAATTGATGGAGTATTTAATGAAGACAAAATTCAGGTGAGGAAAGAAGAAATTACTTTCAATGGAAATGCAAAGCCACTGACCCACAGTATTGCGTAGCTTTACTCCATGCTTATTTTGGCTGTCACTCGGATACCCCATCAGCAGGATAAGCATAGTTTTCAGCCAATCTTGTCTTCCTGGGGAGTCTGTGATACGGTAGAGATTGCAGTGCTGTGCACGCAGAGGCCTCATTGCACTCTCGCTGGGTTGAGTGGCTGTGTTAGCTGGTGTGGTCAAATTGAACTAAACAGGGTTTATTTGCCTGGTTGTATCTTACTGCTAGCTGTGATGCCCCTTTCCCAATTACTGCAGGATGAGACAAGCTTCTTTTTCCCCCCAGTCTCTGTGGCTTAGCTGCTGAGAACAAGATTCATAGCACCTTCAGTCCTTTTGTACATTCAGGAAGATTTGGGATTGGGTTATGAAGACCCATTTTGTTTTCACTGGTTTCCTAAGTTAATTGATGATTCCCTTTACTGTGCCTTTACTGTGTCAAGCATCCATTGGTCAGGTGAGCCTAATTCATTGTAGTCCTCCAAAGTTTATAGTGGCACCTGGAGCGTATTGGGGAATTAGAGTGATGAGTAGCCAGGACTACAGGTATTCATACCAAGACTTCCGTAGATTGGTGGCTTGGAGGGAGTAAAAAAATGCATGTGACAAAATCAGCTAGTGTTCAGAGGGACAGGGGATTGCTAAACATAATGCCTTAAAAAATAAAATGGCATTAGAAACAAAGTGAGGAATTTCAGACCAAAAAGCCCTTTTTCTGTACCAGATGTTGTAAATCAAGTGAAATACTTACACTAGAAGTGTAGGTTGCTTTCCTGAACACAGTAAAAAAAATCTGGTGGAGGGAGAAGTTACATTATTTAGTGACGGGGAAAAAAATCAGGGTTTACTGAAACTTGAGCCATGTATAAAATACCATGAAGCAGTCTCTAAAATGATCTGGGACAGTGTGTACCTGGTTGCCTTTATGTTGTGCAGGTAGGCTGTGCTAGGGCATCCTCAGCCCAGGCAATTGCTCCTGGTTCCCACAGCTTAAGCATAGCTGATGAGTCACTGGGACACTCAGGTGAGTGTCTGGTGTTCTGCAATTACTGCTGCAAGGAAGTGGTTGCAATGACAGCAATTGTTAGGAAAAATAAGCACTCTGAGGGCTCAAACAGAGTGGAGAAGGACAGGATACTGAAAATACCAGTGTACCATAATAATAACCTGTGGTACCTTACCATGCGTGGTCCACTGTACTTGGAAAGGTATAGCAGAAATAGGATTTCAGAGGCAGGTGCTGGTAGTGCTTGAAAATGTCTTTACTGCAAGTAAAAAGTTGGAATGGGATAGTTAAGAAATAGAACAAAATAAGCGAGCTGGTGAAAAGAATATTAAATGTTCTTTATTTTGTATCAGTCTGGTATTCCTGTTCATAATATGTTGTCTAACAACACAAGAACAAGAGGATTTTCTGTTCAGTTAACTTAGGTATTTTTTAAGCAGTTTAAATCTATTTTAAGTATTCCATAGGGCAGATTTTAAAGTGAATCAGCTAAGAGAAACAGATTTCCCAATCCTGCAGAGCAGAATTCAGAAAATCATAGACAAATATGTATGGTAGGAAGCTAAAAATTTATACATCTTACACTTTTATGGATATTGGCAGTCCTGACATCGATGTCACTGCATCGTCATGTGTTGCAAATTTCATGTAGGATTTGTTCCAGTGACTTCTTGATAGGAATAAGTTGAGTTTTTATTCTGCAGCAGTGTGTTATAGATTGAAGATGTGTGTTCATGTTTCTGAGGCTGATAATATTGAGATGCTGGAGCAGTCTCTGAATTTGAACCCCGATCTCCCGTCAGCAAGTCACGATTCTGCCCACCACCACCCCCTTTTTTTTAAAAATGAACTTTCATCAGAAAAGTACTATTGGAAAGTACTAAAACTTTAACTTTACTGTTTCTGTTTTGCTGACTGTAATGTGAATTCTTACACTCTTTTAAAAATATTTCCAGGTACAAGAGTATAGAGAGGCTCTGGAAGGAATACTTATTAGAGAGAAGAATGGAATAGTGCTAATGCCTGAGCTGTATGCAGTCCCACCAGAAAAGGTATTGTAAAAATGCAGCATCCACTTCAGTGTGTAAAATACAGATATCAGTGTGAGTGTTGGTTTTGTAGTTTTCCCGTAGCTGATAAATCTAAACCAGCAATAATAAAAGGCTACTGCACATTATTTAAAAACTAGGAGACCTCTCACAGCTCCTGCTGAGAAGTGGCAAACTTTAGACTTCCAAATAGTCACATTTTTAACTTGGGAATCTGGGTGCCTACAGAAGTATTAGAGCAGGTCTAAAGTTTTAAATCCTCATAGTACTTTTAAATATATGTCTTGCTGATGCTGGCTTAGGAACTGAAGCTTAGAGACAAAATGAAGCATAGATTGTTCTGCCTCTCTAATCTATTGATTGATTGTGCTCTTTCTTTTCTTTGTATGCAAGAGAGAAACAAGTTTCAGATGGATTAGGGTTTGGACTGGGATTTTTGTTTGTTTTGTTTGGTTTTTTTCTTTTCCCCTCCGCTTTGCTCTTTCTGTTTACCTGATTCTCCCATTGTGACAGAGAAACTCAAACGAGCTTATGTGCTCTTCCATGTTATTTGCCTATGTATCCCTCCCTGCAAACAACTTTTCCCACTCCAGACTTCTCACTAAGGGTGTGGAACCTCCTGGGTTGGTCAGAGTTTGGGCAGGGAGTGTTGACAGCTGAAGTCTTGCTCGCAGGTCTGATGTGGGAACTGAATTATCTTCCTAGTAGGAACATGCGTGTAAGAGTTCAGAGCCTTGTGAATTTTGTTATGATGTTGATCTGATGAACGTGCCAAATAAACGGGAGATTTGGCCTGTCATTTATAAATTTTAAAATTGCTGTGGTAAAGGTGTTATCTAGGAGGGTTTTTCCCCTGCCCTCGAGATCTGTATACAGCAATACCAAGGCAATTTTTCTAAATTATTAAGAGTCTACTCTTAATTTTTCCATTGACCATTCTTGCTAACGCAGGAAATGTAGAATAGCCTTCATTTTCGGAAAGCATCTTTACTTCAGGAAGCTAGGTAAACATCAGTGAAGTTCAAGTGTCATCTTGCAAGGCATTAGGAAGCAGACACACAGTTACCTACAAGCTGTCCAGAGGGAAGGCACCAAAGGAATGGTGAGAAGATGTGGGAAGTGCTAATGCCAAAGCTATAATTGCATGCAGAGTCCCCATTCAACCTCCAGCTTTAAAGGGTGGGATGGTGTATGAAAAGGAAGCATAATTCTTGTCCCAGAGAATGTGCAGCCTCAAAAGTAAAACCAAGAGATCTTGATGTCATTAATAATGGCAGGTTAGAAAGGGTAGATGATAGACCATATTTTTTTCAAATACTTGCATGTGATTGATTGTTCTTCAAAACTTTAGGGTAATTTTCTTGCTTATGTGTTTGTTTTCAGGTGGACGAGGAGTATGAAAATCCTCACTCAGTGGATCGTATCCCAGTGGGAAAATTGCCTCATCTTTGGGGCCAATCGTTGTATATCCTTAGCTGCCTGTTAGCAGAGGTAACTGTTTCTTGTGTGGTAGGTGAGCTTGTATTTCATTTTGTTTTGAGATGGCTTGGGTTTTAAGTACAATTTGGTTGTCAGGTAGGGGACAATGTGATTTCCGGTAGAAACATGTACATGAACCATGGAGGGATGGTTTCAGGAGCTTTTTTTTTTTTTTTTTTTTTTTTTTATATAGATATGCAATTGTCTTTTTCTAATCAAGCTGAATAAGTTGTCAATGGACTGGATATATGGTTAGGCTGGAGGAATATGCCCAGGCTGACCTGGCTGTCCCAGAGCTAAGATTTTGCACTGTTTCAGCTCCACTAGTCTATGCCTTGCTCTGTGGCATAAGATGCCTACAGAGTTGTCCCATATTAGCCACGGACTTGTTAAAGGAGCCACTGAATAGCTCTGCAGAGCTACAAAAAAAAAAACAACCACAACACTGGCCTGTCAAAATAATGTCAGTTACTGCAGCTCTAAAATAGGAAATCTGAACGTGCAGATAGTGTCAGTCATAACCATTTTCTTGTTGTTCTGAAAAATATTGCAGCCATTGTTTTTACTGAATGCACTACTTAGTGGACAGGGTAGGTTTAAGCCCTGTTCTCCTGATAAAGTACGAAAATTGGTTAGGATTTCTTCCAGATGTCTTCAGAAGCCTTTTGCTTAATTTTTGTTTGTTTCCTTTCTTTTTTCTTTCTTTTGCATTTATGCTAGGGATTTCTTGCTGCAGGTGAAATTGATCCCTTAAGCAGGAGATTTTCCACTGGATTTAAACCTGATGTTGTGGTACAAGGTGAGGGAGTTTTTTGAACGTTCTGGGTGAATTGGATCATGTGATGGCAAAGTCCCTATGTACAGGAGAGAAGAAAGACATGTTTAAAAAGAATGTGGATTTTTGCATGGGACGTAGATGCTTTGATGCTGCTGTGAGAAGGAAAGAGGGGTTGTTTGCCTAGCTGCCTGTTTCCAGGAGGGAAGATCAGATTTAACAAACTTTTAAAATAATTCTTAAAATTTTAAGACTCGTCAGGGACTGGAGAGTGGCACACGCAATCTTGTAGCGAAAAGGTAAATCTTGGTGAATTCTAGCAAGAAAGAGAGGACTGACAGGAGACAGGTCAGTTTAGTTAGGTTTCTGTGCAGCCCCTTTTTGGAGGAACCAGAAAGCAACGAGTCGGAAGGATCTCCATACGCAGCGGTGAGGCAGCCAGACTTAGGACTGTCTTTTGGCTGCTGGAGGGACTGGCTGCTTTAGTCAGCTCAGGAACAGCCAAAACCAGAAAATTAAGTAGACGGCAAACACCAGCCGATCAGGGCTTAAAGGGTTTTCAAAGGCCTCTGCTGCTCTGGAAAAGCAACCGGCTTGTTGATCAGGAGCAGCCTTTGTCAATGATACCGTGACCTGGGCAGGTGCTTGTTTACCCCTTGTTGGTGTGTCGTGGGGGTGGCATCTTGTTATTCTGAAGTGCTTTATTTCAGGTAGAAATAGAAGTGCTTACTTATTTTTAACATTCTTTAACAAGTATTTATAATGCAAGGAAGAATACTGAATTATTAGTCCCAAACTAATAAGCCACCTAACATGGGCAAAACCTTAAGCAGGACAAGAGGTGAGATCAGGGCCTGGCCCGTAAATTCCTCTGACTTCGGGGCTTTTTTTTTTCTCCCTACCTCAGTTAAAGAGAGTAGAACATTGGTTCTTAATAGTGTTTTTGTTTTCTGTTATGCAGTAACTGTTTTGGCAGAATCTAATCAAATTAAGAATCTCTTGCAAGACCATGGAATCAATGTTCAGAGCATTGCTGATATCCATCCTCTCAGAGTGCAGCCAGCTCGCATCCTGAGTAATCTCTACACCATGCTGGGTAGGTATTTGAACGTGGAAGCTTCTCTCTACTGCTGTGCAAGGTATTCTTTTTAGGGGCGGTGTTTTGGTTTTTGTTTTTCTTGCTTCACACTGTGTCAGTTTCTTAAACTTCTTTTATTTAAATCAATTTCTTTGATTTAAAAAAAAAAAAGAAGCATTTGTGCAAAGAAGCTTAACAAAATTAGAACTTCTGTCTTTATGTGCTGCTATTAGAAGCATCTTTAGGCTGTCACGTTCTTGCTAATGTTCCTTCCAACCCTGAGCTGAGTTGAGCTGTTGAAGCCCTCTGCTGCAAACTCAGAAGCCTTTAGGACTTTTCTAAATACAGGACTTTAAATAGGTTCCAGTTCCTCGGCCATGTTCCTAGAGGCCTCTTTTCCTCAGTCTGGTGGTTGGGTGTTAAATAAATGCCCCCAAACTCCTACTGGTTCTAGTTAAGTTGAAAGTCTTCTGATAACTGTCTCTCTTGATAATCTTTGATGGAATGAATGGGGTCTTGGTGGAAAATTTGTTACGTGTATTCCTAATTGAACTTAGTTTTACTACTTCAAGCATGCCAGCAACTCATGAATCGAAACTGTGGATGTTACTACAAAGTAAAATCGAGGTGGGGTGAATCAGCACTGCTAGATTCCTTTGCAACGTGGACAAAGGGAGCCATATCATGCTTCTCTGCCAGTCTGAAGCATGTTCCCATGGCAGTTTGGTTACGGATAATGGTGGGAGAGTATGAGGCTGTTCATGGGGTGGGTTTTGGGGTTTTTTTTTGTTCTTGTGATAGTTTTTGTTGGTTATTTTTTTGTTTTTAAAAGGAAGTTTTTTAGAAGCATCCGAAGTAAGGGGGCCTTCAAATAAGTCTTAGAAAGTGTGCCCTTTACATGGAGAAGGGAAATTGCCTGTGCTGCTTTTGGGAAATAATTTGTCTCTTTATCACGAAGAACTTTTAACAAATGAGACATTTGCAGGGCTTTGCTGCCACTTACATTTATTTCGTAACAGTTCATAATAGCTTGCTTTCACTAGTTGGGGTGAGTAGGACGATTTGACACATTGGTGTATTGTTTTTAACAGTGATTAATTTGGGAATGTTCATAGTGGTGTTTTTTCAGGCACATGGTTGGTTGGCTCATATTTCTTGTCAGACAGATTCAAGTCAGCTCCTAACTGCTGGAGCAAAGGATGCAGTGCGGATCATTTGCTAATAAGCTCTACTGAGAAAGGTGTGACTTATTAGCCCGATGAATGAAAATCTTTGTATTTGGATGTACTTTGTATTTGGACTTAGCCTTCTGTGGGCAAGAATTTTTAAGGTTCTGCAGTGAAAGCACTGCAATTTGTTGTATGTTGATGGCCTTGTTTTTGAAAGGTCGTAGCTCCTGTCCTTGGTGGGGAAGCTTTGGGTGCTGAGCAATGACTATAATTAAAACACCAAATCCCACGATCAGTGTAGGCAAAATTTTTATTTTTAATCAGGCCTCTGAAGAACTCTAGGTATAATATTGGTGATTGCTACAAAACTCACCAGTCTATAGCATGTCGCTGTTACCTGTCTTCTGCCTTGCTGATGTGAATGAAGTAGATCTCCTTGTCCAAAATGGTTGTTGTGGAAAACCACACAGGTAATGTTAGGTGAGACTTTTTTTTCATTCTCTTTGCTTTACAGGCCGGAACATGAGCATGAAATTAAGTGGACGGCCACACAGACACATTGGAGTGTTAGGTACCTCCAAGCTGTACGTGATAAGAAATCAAATATTTGCTTTTACCCCTCAGGTGAGCATGTAAAGCTGACAGGGGAATCACTGCTTGCTTAATGGCTAATCATTAGTGAAGCACTTTGTTTTTAGGCGGTGTCATACTGCTTTAGGTAGAGTAGGGCTGATAAAGCAGATGTGTTTTGCTTTGTGTTTTTCTTGAGTGTGGATGATCAGCATGTTAGGAGAGCTGGTAAATCTCTCTTCTGCCATACAGAGCCTGGCTGCTTTGGCTTCTGGCTTAGGAGAGCACATCAAATCAATAGAATCAATAGTACAAAGTTGTTACTGATCTCTGCCCAAACCAACATTCTAGCTAATGAAATAGTTTCTCCAGAAGTGGGTCACTTAATATGCCTTTCTAATGATTGCTTTGATGGAAAATTTAGTTTCATGTAAGCGTGCCAAGTACTGTAACCTCCAAGAGACTGAGGTATAGTCTTTTCATTATATTGTTGAAAGGGTCAATAGTGCTGAGAAAGGGATGTTCTGTCATTGTTTTCTGTTTAGTGCCTTTTTCAGTGTAGCTGGAAGTTTGGATTCTACCAGAATTAATGGCTCTTATTTATACATTTAATGAAATATGACACACTCCTGTAGAGTTATTCTAGCAATTGGTACTAGAAGGCCGAGAGATCACCTACTCTAAATACCTGCAATTGGAGCAGCATAAAGAATGCTCACACCCTCCTACACAGATGTTTCACTAATGTAGTGAAATTCCAGTGGAAGATGTTCACTGGACTCCACAGATGGCTTCTGCAGTGCTTCATGGTATACAAACAACATCAGATTTACTGCAAATAATGTGGCTCCCTTCCTATTCTTCCTCATGTCAATTGATCACAAGCAGCTTTGTAACAGATTGTTTATTTGTTGTGTTGCTCCCCTGCACCAGTTTTCACTTTTGCAAATTAGGGAAAAAATACTTAGAGTCTTTTTTTTTTTTTTTCTCCAAAATATCTCTTCGTCCTCATTTTGCTGTGTAAGTAGGAACCAACGTTCCAGCTGAAATCTTGCTATGTATCGTGTGGACATACTTACTAATATATTCCAAATGGCATTTATCTTTGCATCAGAAACACACTGACAGTTCCTGCTTATTCTATGTTTGACTAAAACCTCCATAACACTTTCCATTGTACTTTGTAGGCAGACGTTTCCCCCTGACTTGATTTTGAAGGACTAGAATTAATGTTTAATTTCACCTTCCTGGGGTTAGCGGTTAACTCATCTGTGTTGATCTTGAGTAATGTCCACAAATTTTGTGGGTTTGTAGTTTGTATTTCATCCTGTTCTCTAATGAAAACCTTGATCTATGGGGCAAAGGCTGACCCTGTTTAGATACCCTCTCATCCTGAAGAAATGGTTAATAACTACCTTTGGAGAACAATTTTTCGAGCAGTTCTGCCTCTTCATATGTTTTTTTTCTTCAGTTCACGAGTGTGAAAATTTGCAAAAGTTGCGAGATGTCAGCCAGTTTCTTGTACCTACCATCTAGTTGCTCCCAAAGGAGGAAATTGGACTGGTTTGCCAAGATTGGTTGGCCGATGTCTGTTTAGCCATCTTGCTTTATCATTTTGTAATTATCTTGGCAGTCTCAAATTTGCTTTGTTTTCCTGTGCTTTCAGGCACTGAAATAGGCTTGACCAGTCTATGTTATCCTGGCTCTTTCTTTTTAAAGATGGGCAGTGTGTTTGCTTCTCTCTAGATTTCTCGGACTTGTTCTTCCTGAATTATCAAAAGTAACTGGGAGTGGCTCAGGGATTGTTTTGGCTAGTTCCTTAAGTTCTATGAAGTAATTTCTCAGGGTTTTGCCAGCTTGAATTTACGTGCTCTTTAACCTTTTCTTCCCATACTCGGGCTGGACTCCTATTGCTTTGTTCAAAGTAGTATTACAGGTTATAACTCACTACTTTTCTTCTGCAGTAAAAACAGCATTGAATGCTTCAGCTTGGCTGTGTCCTCTCTTCCTACCTCCTTTCTTTATTAATGGACCTACAGTTTCTGTATTTTCCTGTTACTTCTGATCAGTTTGCAGGATGTTTTCTCCTTGACCATTAAGTGGCGTACTAATTGATTTTTATTTTACATTGCAGCCTCCTTTTTCCACCCCTGCCCAAGACTTATGTGCTTCCTTAACTTTTGTTGACATACTTTCATTGTCTGTCCATCGTTTTTTGGTTTCCAGCTCCTGAAGTAGCCATAATAGTCTGTTACTGTGGTTCTTGGCTTTCCTCTGTAGTGGAAACAGCACACTTCACAGTTGTACAGTTAATGTACCTCTTTTCCACAGTAACTGCCAGTGTTTCTGTATTCTGCTTGACTTTCAGATAGTTCCCAAGAGACATACAGTTACTAGTCCCCAGCGAGCACTTAAGCCTATTTATTGGTTTTGTTGCTATTGTTAACTTCATCTTCCACATTTAGAGGACTTCCGTCTTCCAGATGATAGGTTACTGTAATTGATCATAGGGAAGATTCTACTTCATGGGTGTGATTGTCTACTTTTTATCTGTATGGCTTACTGCTTTCATGGTCAGCCTACACGTGTAAAAAAAACGGGCTCTGCACAAGCATGTTTTTTTTTTTTTTCCACAATCGCAGGCCTTGTTAGCTTAATTCATGTGGTCTGTGTTGTGGTCAAGAATAGCTCATACGGCTTTTGTGAATGATTGAAGGGATGAAATGGAAAAAGAGAATGAGACCACTGACAGCTACTCATATGCTGTATTTCTCTGTTCTCTAGTTTACTGACCAGCATCACTTCTATCTGGCTCTAGACAATCAGATGATTGTGGAGATGCTCAAGACAGAGCTGGCTTACCTCACTTCTTGTTGGAGGATGACAGGGAGACCAACCCTGACGTTTCCCATCACCCACACAATGCTTGGTAAACTTAAGTTTCTCTGTTTCAAGTGGAGTAGATTACTGCAGGGGAGTAGGATGGAAGTCGCTTTGAGAGGAGACAGGTGGCATGACTGTTTCAACATCTGAGTTCTAACATCAGTAGTACAATTTAACTTTCTCAAGTGTATGCTGAATTTGGATGACATGGTGATATTTCGTTTTGGTTTTACTCTCCCTTTATATCCTTGCATCTCCCCATCATCTCTGTACTATTTCTGTCCAAAGAAATTTGATAGAAATCCATTTGGAACTTTTTTTGAGTGGCTTGGTCTTTGTCTTGAGAAATCCCTTTAGAACTTGTCTTGAGGTTGTCTTTTGTTTGCTTTCTTGTTTGGGGTTTTTGAATAAGCTAGTATTGATAGCAGTTGTGGGTTCTGTTTTAAATTTGTCTGACTTACTTTGTAGGGAACACCCAGTAATCCACTTTTTTTGGACATGATAATTTAAGAATGTGTTAGTAAGCTTCAACTGTTCCACTATTCTTTTTTAGTTGATGATGGTACTGACATTCATCCAGCAGTTCTTGCCACCATAAGAAAACTAGAGGATGGTTATTTTGGAGGTGCAAGGTAATGTCAGAACCCCCAAACAATTGTCTCCATGATTTTTTTAACTAAATCCTATACAAGGCTCAGTTTTGAATTTGTGGTAGTGCACAGACCTTGTACTAGAGCTCTGCAGAGAAAGAATTTTCAGCTTTGGATATTATGTGGCAATCAGATGGTAGCTGGACCTCAGATGCAATGGAAAAGATCTGTCTCCCGGAAGGTGTACCACCTCTGACTGTCATTAGTGGATAAGGAAAAATAAATGCCAGACCTTTGGAAGCAGAAAAACTTGGTCTTGGCTGGGTTTCTGTTTTTGAGAAGTAATTATCTTTCGCAGCGGTTGTCCATCTCTCACCTGGACATATTTAAACATCAGTTACATGTAGTACTTGCAAGCTTATGTATTCCATTCATCTACATATAGAATATGTTTGATATGATGCCACGGTACCCCCCTATTCTCTTTCTGCTTGCCCTCTCTCAATCAGTGGACAATCAGACGTACTTTCTGGTTTTTAGCAGCACTGCAGTTCTGTGAAAAGATACTGCTGTTCATGGAAACTTCTCAGCCCCAGTTTTTCATGCATTATTCTTGAAGTTTAGGTCTTTTTTCAGGGTCTCTCTCCATATAAACATACAGCACCCTGCATAATTCGGCTTTGAGTTAGGCCTGTAGGTGTTACTGTAGCACGGTTAAGTTCAATTAGTAGCTAGAGCAGTAAGAATCCAGTTGGATCTGCAACTATTGTTTTGCATTTGTTTTTCTCGGTATCAGTATCTGCTGCTTTGTAGTTACCAAAGGTGGATTTAACAGTAGGTCTCATAAATTTTGGAGGAGTTCTTGAAAGCTGAGTAAGCATTAATCAGTATCAGAATGGTAGATGTTAATGCTGTTTGACACACGTTCCTGTTTGCAGAGTGAAGATAGGCAAGCTATCAGAATTTCTTACAACATCTTTTCATACGTATCTGAGCTTCCTGGATCCAGACTGTGATGTAAAACTGTTTGATGACCCTAATGAAGGCTGTAATAGTCCTGACAGTGAATATGGAGGCTATCCAGCAGACTTCTATGAAAAAGGTAGTGTTTTTTCACTTCAAATTGTTTTCTCTGACAAGTTCTATCAGCAGAGCCGGGGTTTGTCTACAATGTAGAGCCTCTTTTGTGCACACTTGACAGTTATTCAGGTTTCTCATGCATCAGTCTGAGGGCAGTACCTGCATAACTTAATTTGGAGAAGGAATTTTTGCATATTCTTCCTGTGTTCGTAGTATGGCATAGACCAGTAACTGCTGCACTGAAGCTGAGTCTGAAGAGTCGGCAGGTGGAAGTGTGTGTGGAAGAGGCTAGAGGGAGGAAGAGACTGCAAGGAGTCATAGAGAAGAGCTTGGGTGGAAGAGATGATAGTCAGAGAATCATTTAGGTTGGATAAGACCTTTAAAATCATCAAATCCAAACCGTGATCTGTGGACTACCAGCAAGTTGAAAACCCTTTTACTTTATTTCAAATGGAAAACCCACTTCTTAATGTAACTGTTTGCAAAATGTCAAAAACTGATTAATTTTTTTTCTTGCTAATTTCTTTAGCTTAAAAATATCTTGCTTATGATATGCTTGCATTTTTGTGTGCCTTTCTATATAAGCAAGGATAGAGCGGTGCGTTTGAAAAAGAAAGCACTGGTAAATTATGATTTTACCTTTAATAAGCCTTTTCTTTTATGTATGTCATGTTAGAAAGCCAGGATGAGCTGGATCAGTATATAAATGAAGTCCTGCAGAGCACAGCACTGAAGTCATACCTGCCTCCGACCTCAAAGACTGCGAATCAACCACCTGTATTCAGTGCAAACCATTCCACAAAAGAGATACTGTCAATAATGGCCAAGACAAAGGGCTTGGAGGTTCCAGGTATTTGTCCCTATTATTTATTTAGTGATAGTAACAAAAAACCTGTTTGACGTGCTACAAGGGATAAGTTCAAGTATTTCAAAATTCTGCCCTTTGAAAAGAACTAGTGGCACAAGTTGGTTGTGGTTATCAAGAAATAAGAATGCGTCTGGAGCTGTTACTGTTGTGTTCCCACAGCATCCCTTGTCTTAGCATATACATAAATAACCTGCTATGAATCGTAACATTTAATCAAAGTTAATGTTATGAAAACTGCTACACCTTCACAGCTGGATAGGATTTTAGAACCTGAGTCAGGGAATTTAGTTTTTTTGTCTTTATACAAAGACAGACAAGATGTACTTTCTTATTTTAATGAAGTTGTGATGAAATGTTTCAATGCCAGAAGAACATGAGTACGCACATGTACTTTCTAAATTTGTAAGAACAGATGGAGTAGAGAAGGGGGACAGTATTCCTAATTGTGCTACATTTCTAATAGACTAATTGGAGGATTTACACCAAAATAATGCTTTGACTGAATTTGTAAATAGATTCCAACACATGCATTGTTCTGTATGTAGGTATGTAGTACTCAATGCCCTGGTTAAGGGAGGGCTTCCCTTAGCTTTGGTGTAAATAAATAATTTCTAAGCTTTTTTGTTAGTCTTTTCTCCTGTTTTTCATGTGCCACGTAATCTGATCCTCTACTGAATTCAGCATACAAAGTCAGCAGAGCATTAGTCTGCATTTAGCTTATCATTTTAATCATGATATCAGTTAGACCATTTTCTCCACATACTGCCTGTTAAAATGTTTAAAACGCTTAGCAGGGTCAGGTCATTGGGCTGTAGGATTTCTGAGGCATGGGCTGTCATAAGAGGTATCACTTGATTGTGGAGCACCTGAGCCGTTGACATGCTGATCTCAGAAGCTCTGGGAGCAAGCCTGCAAAAGGAGGTAAGGTTCCGAATAGGAGCTTGTCTCTGAGTTCCACGCACAGCATCTCAGAAGTGTTGCCTCTGTATTTTGGCTCTTGCAGGTACTGCTGCTGCTTTTACCTAGTGTTGTTGCTTCATGTAGGCATTTTCAATTTTCATGTTAGTGAAACGGACTGTTTTTGTTTTCTTTTTTCCGGTGGCTTTGGTTTCCAGCTGTGTCTATGTCTCTTCCCACTAAAGTTCTGAACACGCACCGGAAGTCCCTGAATCTTGTTGATAATCCCCATTTCTTTGATGCAAAGGTAAGCTGTGGGAATTTTTATGCTGTTTTGTGTTTTTGTGATGCAATACTGTGGCCTTTCCTGTGTTTCCCAGCCAAACTCTATGCTAGTTCTCATTTTTCTTCACAGACAAGCCATTCTGGAGGCACTGCATAGCTGCTCCCTTGTTTAGGAATTTATTTTTTGGCTGGGTGAAGTTTTTTTAGTTAAATAGACATTGTCAAGTGGAAAATTTTTACTTGTGTGTGCCAAACAGAAAGTGATATTTATTTTTAAAAGCCAAAGGGTTAAGTCATGATCTTCAGTTCTAACTGAACACGCAAATGGAAGGATGGAATGTTGATGGCCTTTAGAGACGTTCTTCAAGAAATGCTACTTATAGTAATGTTTGAGCAGGAGGGGAGCTTGTGAAAGGACAGGTGTCCTTAAGGCACCAGTCAAATCCCGCTACAAGGCATGGAGGTGGGGTTGTGCTGGGCACTTGTTTTGTCGTAGTATGCGTGACCTGCTGCTGAGAATGGTTACAAGAGGTTGTATACAGCCTCCTGAAGGATTCTACTCTACAGGCTTTCTTAGTGGAAGTGGTATTTTAGGACCATATAAATTGCTAAATATTTTATTAAACAAAACTTCTCTTTAGCTGAGAGCTCGCTACAGGATTGCAGCGTCTGATTAGTTAACATGTTAGTTTCGTAAGCTTGAAAAATTTATGATGGCAACATCAGCATTCTTAAAATGCCACATGTGTACAGGTTAGAGACAGAACTCAAAAAGCTCTAAATTATTTCAACTAGAAGTAGTATCTGTCTGCTTTTCTCTTTACAAGTAACTACAAGTAACAGGAAAAGCAAATAATTTGGTTTGCTTCTTTGATAAAATATTTCTTTGTTTTGTCCAAAAAATGGCTTACCTTGTTGATTGAACCAAAACTAGAGACAAAGTTCCATTCTGGGTGTTGTGTTTCCTGGGGTCGGTCTCCTTTTCGTGTGTGCAGTAGTCTGGCGAGAACTATGTGATGTGCCTGTATTTCAAGTGCAGAGTTATGTTGCAAGTCTGTTGTATTGTTCAGTGGGAAGTCACAGTTTCAATCTGATCTGCTACTTTTTTCAAGATGATTTCTTTGATTTTTTTCATCTGTCTTTGTTGTCAGGTCTGTGAAAATGTTTTGCACTTACCTAAAGATGCTCATGGTGATTTGGATTGCAGGAAGCTTGTTCAGCAGCTGAAGGAATGTCCAACACTCCATGATCAAGCAGATATCTTATATATCTTACATATACTAAAGTGAGTTGTCTGAGTACAAACTTCAACGTCTTTAAGTCTGGTCACAACTATCTGATTGTTCTTGTGCAAAAGCTTTCCACTGCTCAGGGTTGTGTTTTGAGGGAGAAGTTAAAATATTTTGTGCTTTTACAAGCATATTTTCAATTAGCTTGATTACATAAATTGGATACAAAAAATGCTAGTGCAAATTTCAGAGTTGATTGGTACGCAGTTGTGAATACATACAGGCTGCAAGGATCACAAGTGACATGCACAAATCTTTTCCATGAATGAGAACACAGCTTCCTGTATTTGTGGCACACGGTTAAGTTCACAAAGCTTTGGTGCGATATTTATACAAAAGAAGGGAAGTGGAGGGAAACTTGATCTTGTCATTTACCAACTAAAAGCAAAATGCAATTTTAAGTAGTCACTGTTTTTCCCCTAATCCCTCTGCATGTTAACGTGCACCACTGGCAAAAACTCAGTGCTCTTCAAAACATTCTTGGAAATGCTCTGACCTCAGCTGCTGAGGTTAGTAAACAGCTGCTACTTAAATAGGTTTGATGGGAACAAAATACAAATACAAACCAATGGAATTATCTTCTGGAGCGCATTTATTGGGCTTTTTTTCCCTGTGCAGGAGAATACTGGTGGAACCTGGCAGGAAGTTTGCTTTGGATGCAAAGACAAGCATGTGTTAATCGCAGATGGTCTTCCTTACTGCTGCAAAGATTGTGGTTTTGTTTATTTTAGTCTTTGTCCTGTAAGGACCTCTTCTTTGATCTTCTTGATTTCCCAAGCAAAATGTTTAGCAGCCTCTCTTAAAGAGCAAAGGAAATCCTGAAAAAATACCTTTTTGTTTAACTACCTGCAACACCCTTAGTTTCCTGTTCTGGACTTGTTTCATCGTGAGGATCTCTGTTGGGCAGGCAGGTGGACTTCTGGTGAGAAGCCATAATGCAGTGAATTTCAAAACAAGGCGAGGAACAGAAATCTCCTTTGCTTTTTCAGTAATGACAAAAGCAGCGTGGAAGCTTAATTAATAGCTAAGGAAGAGGCAGGACCAAAAAGAGCACCCTGAGGCATCTGAAAAAATGGGTGCAGTCTTCAGTAGTATTGAAGACATTGCTGAATGCTGCTCTGAAAAAGAACCGTGTGGAGTGTTCCTCCAGCAAACTGTCTGCGTGCATGCTCTATTTGAAGCCTGTGGGAAGTCCCTTGTGTGGTTGCTTTGGAGTCACAGGCTTGTGGCTAAGTGACTGCTCAAGTTAATATGAAAGTTCCTTGTCTCAGGTTTTGTCTACAAGTAAAGGTGAAGGCCTACATGTCGTTTGTACTTCCTAAGTCTGCCACCAAAATGAGCAATTTGGTCCAAATCAGGCTGCTTGTTGTGTGGTAAGGTTAAGCAGTGTAGTGTTTTATTTGATGAAAATTACTTTCTGTCACTTTTCTGACAGAGGCGCTGACTGGGACACACAGCTGGATGGACAGTACGGCGTCACTGTTCATTGCCTACTCAACGAGCTCTACAGAAAAGCAGGCCTCAATCAAGAGTGGGGCTTGATCCGTTATATTTCTGGTATACTCAAGAAGAGAGTGGAAGTCCTGGCTGAGGTATGAAATATAAAGAATGCTGGTTCAGTTTCCTGCCTGCAAACAAGAGATAAAACTACCAGTTTGCCAGTGGGGCTTGTGTTTGCCACCTTCTGGTCTTACTTCACATGTGAACGTTGGCTGCTTTTCTGATCTAAAAACTTATTGCAACATCTTTACCTTTCATCTGTACTGTGGACTGTGCTAATGTTGGCATGGACTGAGAAGCATAGAATGATTTGGTTTGGGGACCTTAAAGATCAAGTAGTTCCAACCCACCTGTTATGGGCAGGGACACCTTCTACTTGACCAGGTTGCTCAAAGCCCCATCTAACCTGGGCTTGAACACTGTCAGGGAGGAGGGGGCATCCACAGCCTCTGGGCAACCTGCTCCAGTGCCTCACCACCCTCACAGTAAAGAATTTCTTTCTTCTGTCTAATCTAAATCTCCCCTCTTTCAGTCTAAAGCCTAGCCCCT